TAGTTAAGTCATATGTATGGATTGATATAGAAATGTCACAATTCAGAAAAAAACATTAATACTTTTATAATAGGGAGGAGCAAATTAAAGAGCTATCCTTAGTATAAATTATGATTTTATTTACATATTTTTAATTCTTATATATATATATATATATATATAATATATGTATATTATAAGAATATTGATAATGATATATTCTATTCGACATATATATATATCGCACTGACAAATTAATTAACATTTTCGTGTTTGCGAAGATGTTTAAATAGTCGAAAACACACACAAGCCACAAATAGGTGGAGTCTGACGGCATCTTACCTGCCGCTGATAAATATAATAAGGTATTATCTAAAATATAATTAGACTAACAGTGTACTGCCATTTGTTGCAGAAAATTATTTAATTTTTGCTTATTTTCATTCGTGTATAAGATATAACTCTAAATTTTAATCTCTGAAAGGCCATTACGTCTTCCTTTTATTTTGATTATTTTCTCTTTCTTTCCTAAAATTGTAATATGCTTTTAAGTCTTTCAAAACGTTTTTTTTTTTTTTTTTTTTTTGCTTTTATAATGCTAACGATACGTGTACCTATATAACGAAACATGTGAGACTAAAATCTTTTATTCAAGAATACTGATGAATTTGCGAACCTAAACGTTTAGCCGTTCAACAGAAATAAAGCGAAATCATAACTTTGCAATTCTTAATCTCTATCGTAATCTTCTATCGTAATCTCTATCGTAATCTTCGCTTGTTTTTACGTCCGCCATTTGCCTTGGTAAAACGCAGTCAATTGCTTTGCTTTCTCCGTCCAGTTGTATTGCTGTAAATAAGTGAAAAACTCGCATGTCATTATTGAAGAAAGGGCATGCGATTCAGGTTAGCTGTATACATCTACTTCAAGAATATAATGTCAGAAATAAAAACCTATATCCACCGACCATGAATGCAGCCACCTAACCATACATCAGCTCCTTCATCATGCTGTTGATCACTATACAAGGTTTCCTTTTCATACGCAGGTTGATCTAAAAATAAAAATTCAAGAATTCGGAAATCAGAAAACTCCAGCACAATGCTAGAAGTTGCATTACTTTTTTAAGTAACAGAGATTGGCTAACGTTTTTTTTCCACATCGAGAGACGTTAACCATCTTGTAACAGGAATTACAGTTGATTTGTCGCAAATGCTGCGTAAAGTATAATTTCACGTTTGAATGACATTACCATGAATGACAGTCATCACACAGAACATTTGTACTGTTAGTTGCGTTGCAAACCGCGATGCGCCACTATGCGAACTTTTGACGCAATTGAAACACCATCTACAGTTGAAAAAATTTAACTATCCTGGCAATAAAATTTTCATGATTTAAAAAAAAAGTCTGTCTACGTACTTTGTAAAAACCTCATCGCCTACTTTACTACTGCCATCTAACTTTCTAAACTTTTCAAATTCTTTAAATTTACTTTTCAGTTACTTTTGGATCACATCGTATATTATTTTAGCAAATACACCATTCTGCTCAAATTAAGATTGTTAAAAATTGTCATATATTAACAATTATAATTATTTTATACAAGAAGCATGCATTCACTAAAAATTTCTTCATAATCATATAATGATTGTTACACTGAATAGTTGAAAGTTTGATTCATTCTTCCCTTTAAGATCAGTAGTAAAATTTGTCACAAAATAAAATTTTTGCTAAATATGCTAGCTTCTGAACGTCCATATTTCGTGGATTAATATAAACAAATCTCGCGACGAAAATTGTTAATATGAAACAAAATTATCGAGATTCTCTTTTGTGTATGAGTTGTTCCCCACTGCTCCCGCATCGAGAATTTTATCGATATTCAGTCGCCATAACTCCTGAATTCCACAGAGAGAAGTGAAGCTTTCATGCCCTTCGCTGTCCTTGATTAAGGTTGAATGACGTGATGCCAAATTTTATTAGCTCGCATACCGTTTACAAGGCAACCCTTTAACTAGGAAATCCGTTGTTAGAGTATCGGTTCGGAACACCTCTACTATAATTGATACAGTCTTCCATTCTACATGTGAGTATATATCGGGGCCATATAATTTAGTTAACACACCATTTTTCGATGTCTGTGTTACACATTTATTGATCCATAAATAGCCTCTCTTATTTTTTCGACTCACATCTATAATTATCTATTTGAGATGTTCTGTGTTTTACTCATTGATACAAGATAATTAGACTTCTTAGCTGCAAGGAACTATACCTTATTTTCTGCCGTTCCCTTGTTCAACTCTTTTCTTTAATTTCTGACGGGAAATCATGACGCTTTGAATTATTTTATTGGTTATTTTCAAATGTTTATTGTTTTAAATGTTAAATTTAAAAACCTGTTTAATGGAGTGAGAAATCCCGCATAATTATTTTTTAAGTTTTTGACTGCTGAACCAAACATTTTATTTTGAAGTTCTTGTGATTTATTGTTCTATTACTAGTCCAAAGGAACTTTGTCCCTGAAGGATTATTGTTCTCGTTTTGCGATTTTGCGTTGAATCACTAAAAATGTCCGTTTCACTTTTCAAACTGTTGCCACCAAGTATTGCATTATATTTGAAGAAATTAAATAATGAAAAATCTGCATAAATGTATGTATATTTCTCGCAGTGTGATAAAACAACGGTACATAGAGCCATCGAATTTTGAATGACGTAATCATCCTACGAATATGGGCAAGTAAAAAACCAAATTTAAAATTTGGAATTTGTTTTATTATCCATTTCATATTTTGTAAAACTTGAATGACTTTTTGAGTAACAAACTCAGCGATTTAAAAGCGAGCAATGACAACACTCTACGGCGGGGAAAAAAAACCTTTTTATCTCTAGCGAGCGCGGAACAGTGTATTGGAAATTCTAAAGATATGCACATTTTAAAATTATTGTGCGACATTGCTACTGAATTGAATTTTATAGTTTAAGTGCAAAGAATATGATATTTAATAAATAAAGGTAACACACCAAACGTTAAAAAGACGCCTCTTTGGACGTAATTTAAAATCTGAAACCTTTCAGATTTTTTATTCATTTATTTATTTTTTAATTTTCAAAATGGGAGCTATGAAGTCACTTCTCATCAGTCCGAAGGCTTAACAGATTATCCTTTTCTTTTTTGTAACAGTCTGTTTTGAGATTTAAAACAAAATAATACGTGCTGGTGTGAATGAGTTTTCTAAATTCTTTTTTTAAATCTATTGAAACTGGAAATTTGTAAAGCTCGTAAAATATATATAGCCGCTGCTAGGGTGATGGCCGCCTGTGTGCCCACATAGTTTTCGCCGCCCCGTTCCTCCCCCCTTCTCTAGAGTACAAAATGAAGATCGTTGGAATGGAATACAATTTATGTAAATTTCTACCTTTTTCCAAAGAATAATTTTTCAGCAAATTTGTCTTAAAAATATTTTTTTTTAATTATAAAACTTCAAAAGTCAATGTCTTAATATAAAATAGATCTAATTTTTAACGAAATCGTTTTAAAAATATAAAGAAAAATTAGTAAAATTGTGGGAACTAAATCAAACGGGTTTTTAAAAAAAAACTTACCTTATAATGGTGAAAAAAGAACCTGGGAGCTTTAAAACACTTCTCAAATTGTTTTTAGGATAAAAGTTAAAATTGCACTCTCCGAGATTTTGTTTCCGAAAAATTTTTTAACACACTATTAAGGTCTATGGTATCGCACAATTCGTGTTCAATAGAAAGAGTTGCCAAAGCCGATAATCTTTCCTGACTCATGGATGATCTAAGATAGTTTTTTATCAACTTGAGCTTGGAGAATGAACGTTCTCCAGTTGCAACAGTGACCGGTAAGGTCAAGAAAATTCTAATTAGTACGGTTAAATTGGGAAAAGATGACGATAAATTATTTTCTAGTATGTATTCAAGAATTCCAATTGTATTCATATTAGTTTTAAGATGGGGTTGCATAGCTTTAATTTCTTCGAATAATTCCGCCCCGTTAATGTCGCTATGATTTAGCTTCTTGTCTGTCAAGGCTAGTTCCGCTTCGGCACAGTGGGCTTTCAGTTCATTGTCTTTAAGGTCGCCATATTCGGGTATTATATATAAATTTTAAAGATGTTAATATGTTGGTATAATAATTGAAATCTCTCATTTATAGCCCCAATTGTTGCATCCAAAATTTTAAAGTAAAAGTTGACTTTAAAAGAACTCTCTGGATCTAAAATGCTTTCATTGTGTTCGTAATCAAAATTTCTTTTTCTTCTTCCAATGCGTTTTGCTGCTGGATGAAGAAATTCTGCTTCTAGTTCAACTTCGGCAGCAATTTGTTTTGCAGCATCCATAAATATTTTGAAATGTTCGTCACATCTTATTTCAACAAAGTAGTCTTTTAAATTTTCTAGGGCTTCGGCTGAAGATTTAATGTTTAATTTTGGACTTTGTAAAAGTTTACTCACTACGTTGACTTTATTAAGAATTGCATGCCAGATTATTGTTGAAAATATAAATTTAAAGGTACTGATTTTTTTTACCCAGTGACTTTGCCAAAGTTCTCGTAATTATATCCCTAGTTGCATCATCTTTAATTCTGCTAGAGCATCATATATTTCACCTAATTGTGTTTTAAGTGGTGTGATTGCTTCTATACGACTTTCCCATCTTGTATCTGATAATGGCTTTAATGTAAGTTTCGGAATATGCGCTAATAAAATACTCCATCTATAATTTGATGCTGAGAAGTAAACGTACAATTCCTGAATTAAGTAAAAAAGAAAAACTGTTTCGAAGCTTACTTTAGCAGCGTCGTTCACAACAAGATTTAAACTGTGAGCTATACAAGGAATAAAAAATGTACGGGGACAAGCGTCCAAAATTTTTTTCTGTAGTATGTTTTCCTCGCATATTAGCCCCATTGTCATAACCTTGTCCACGTAAATTATTCATATCCAGTTTTAGCTCTTGAAGATTTTTTACTATAAATTCATATAATCCTTAACCAGTTGTATCTGTAATTGGGCAGAATCCCAAGAAATGTTCATAAATCTTAACTGGTGGGACGCAAGGAACACATCGAATTATAACAGTTATTTGTTCAGTATGTGAAATATCTGGGGTACAATCTAAAATTATAGAAAAATATTTTGCCTCTCGTATTCTGTCTAATATTTGTTCTTGTATAGTTGTTGCCAATAACTTAATCATTTCGTTTTGGTGTTCCCAACCTAGATAGTGAGGCGCATTTTTGTAATTTTTGGATTGTATTCTACGTAAATGTTCGGAAAGAACTGCGTCAAATTTGGAAATCATTTGAGTCAATTGAAGGAAATTTCCATTATCTGGCTGAAACAGTTTTTGTGATGAACCCCTAAAGGCCAAGCACTGACGAGATAAATATCTGACAATAAGCATCAATCTTTCAATAACGGCACGCCAATGATTTTTTTCCAGTTCGTATAATCGCTGATTGGACGAGTCGATTGTCGTACCCTTTTTCAGTGCTACACTCAAATCATGCATTTGTTTAGTATATTTAATGTGGATTAATCTGCTCTCATGCCTTTTCAAGATTAAAGATAACTGTTGCCAATCGTTCACTCCTTCTTTACCATATATACGCTCCTTTTTCTCTGTGACATCGGTGGTGCAAAATAGTTTACATGGAGCACAGAAAACACTATTTAAAGATAAAGAATATAATAACCAAGGACGGTGGATTTTTTCACCATTGCTTAAAGTACGGTAAAAATATGACTCTGAAAATTTTTTATTTTGCTCATCTCTGGGAAATGCTATGTTTTGAACTTGACTTGGGAAATTTTCAATTATATATTGTACCTGACTGTGGGTTAGGTTTATAGGCCATTTACCAGGATCGTCAGAAACTAGGCAAAGAGCGTCGTCTTTTTCTAAAGATTTAAAAGTAGTTAAAGCATCCATGTCCTTACCTGTTTCAGTTGTCAGCTCTACGTTTTTCCTTCTCCCATTCTTCCCTTTTCTCTTTTTCGTGATTATCAACATCATGATTTTTTTCAGTAAATGAAATGTCTTTCCCTGCTTCCCAGCACACTACAGATTCATCTCTTAGGCACCCGGTACCCACAGAAGTTGATGCACTAAAATTTACAATATTTACATTGTCATTATTACTTACATTTCTTGAAATTTCTGTTGTTGAATTGTCACTTATAATATCACTATTATCACTTCCAGTTTTCAAATATTTTTCTAAGGCACCGCTTTGTTGTTGCTGTTCTTCAAGCCTAGCTTTCCTCTTTTGTTTATATTGATAACCTGACAGTCTTTTAGTTTTTCTGGCAGACATTTTTAAGGGTCGAAAATGAAAACCTAAATAGTAGTATACAAAACTGCACTGAATCTACGCACGTTTTTGGTAAAAAGTATGTAAGTGTCAATGTAACAAAACGGTAACACTTTTTAAAGTACAAAGTACAAAAAGTCAGTATATTCATTAAAATATAACATCTTCACATCGCACACGCAAAATCGGCAAAACTATGCGATCGCACGGGGTTGTTTAAACTAAAATTAAAATTTGTTACCTCACACTTGCAGTGGTCTATTCTTCGCATCTACTACAAATTTACAACGCAACTGTAAGAAAATTAAGGCGCAGCTAAATATATCTGCGCATGCGCTTGTTGATGTCTCCTTTTCGTCGAGTCTAGGAAGGGGGAGGAAGAACGCCCTCCTCGTAAGGGGAATGCCATCTGTTTGCCACCAAGTATTAACCAACAATTGGTTATTTCGCGAACTACCCCAATTATTAGTTGGTCCGCTGTAATATTTTTCAATCATCAATTCTTTGCTGCATCGGCGGATATTCCATAACCCAATAAAGAACAAAATTTGACGACTCAAGTGTTTATTTCCTTATGTTGTTACAATACTGTAATACAATACAAATTTGCGAAGACATAAGTTCGGCTTATTTTCGTTATTAAAGCTTGATGAGTTTATGTTTTGGAAGATTTATTTTCAATAAAAACTCGGTGAGTATGATTTTTTGCTTAAAATCGGCGGTCCGTGGCCCCCGCCTCTCATAATCGGCCGCCTGTGTTTTTGAACACACCGGACATGGTAGCGGCGCTTCGTTTGCATATTTATCTATTTGCATTACGGATTTTCAACGATTACTGAAGGTCTGGTATGCAAAGTAGGAAAATAACCTTCTCGACCCATGGAACAATATTTTTCTACGAGTTATGATTCTTATTCATAGATTATTTACATTTTACATGCCGTAGAATCGCGTGACGAAAACCGAAGTTTGTTTACTTCGTTCTTCGCGGAGACTAGAAAGTGTTGCCATCGCTTTAACTAAATTTAATTAGAACTTGACGGAACTGAAGCGACACTACACACCCCTCCTAGTGACAGCGCTTTGGAAGATAGTCTTTAAAGTGACTGGAAACCTCACATATCTGCCGGTTCTAGTAGTCTTGGTTTATGATGAGTTTCTGAATTTTCTTCAGTGTTCTGAGTGCAGGTGTTTCTCCAGTTCCGCTTCTTGGAATGGGAGTTTGAAAAGGAATAACAGAATCTTGCACTAGGAAACATGGCTTTAGTCTGTCTATGAAACTCCTTTTAACTTTTCCTGGATTTAAATATCGAAATACATATCCTTCTTGCTCTTACAGGATTCGATCCAAGATAGACAGGCTGTAGCGCGATTATTAATGTTGTTGTATAGGAATACGTGAGAACGTTGGAAAGATGCTTAGAAACAAAGACGTTCTATTTCCATGGTGGTGGTAGAACTTGGCTTCATAGCTCTTTTATTTTCTGAAGGTTTTAATAAAATTTAAACTGTTCATATGAGGTACTGCTGAAAAGATTCACCAGGTAATGCTAAAGGAGTTCCGTATAATGTTCTGGGATTTAGCAGCCTAAGTCTTCCTTGATGCAGATCTTATGCCTAAAGAACGAAAGGCATGCTTCCAGCCATAATTTTGATTCGATAGATGACATTTGAGACTTGCTTTTAAAGTTCGGTGTTGTCTTTCGATCAGGCCATTGGTCTGTGAATGGTACTCAGTTGTAGTGTCTGTATGAAAACCAATCTATTTTCCTAAAGCTTGAAAGTTGGCTATCAAATTACCGACCTGGTCAGATGTTATGCGATCGGAATTCCAAAGCGTGAAACCAGTATAAATCAAGCTTTAGCAATGATTCTGCTACTGATCTTCTACGGTACCGCTTCGATCCATCGTGTATAACGATCGATGATGGTTAGAAGATATTTGAATCCTTGCAAGGAGGTAGCGGACCCCCAGATTTATGTTTAAATGCTGGAATCTGTGTGGAGGTATTCATTCTCCAAATATGAAGTGTATGTCTGTGAACTTTAGATCTTTGACAGGAAAATGCTTCCATAGTGGCAGTCTTTATCATATTGGCCATATGAAACCGTCATGTTATCAATTTTCGTGGATCTTATTCCAGGATGAGATAAATTATGGATTGAACAAAAATTTTCTGCCGAAACTTTGTAGGGATTGGTCGATTAAATTGTAGAAGTATCACAGTAAATTTCTTGTCGCTGTCCGGTATAGGGATCTGCCGATTTAAGTTTGGGTTGTTTTTTAGTTCTCCAAGTCCATCATTCTGACAGTCTACTATAGTTTGTAAGTCTATGCAGATGGTACAAATGGTGTCTATGCGAGAGAGAGCGTCAGCGACGGTATTTTCATGCTCTTGTATGATCGGATATCGGTTGAGAATGCCAATATATGACGTGTCTAGCTGTCCTGGCGAAGCTTTTCCAAATTTTGTTGGAAGGCAAATGTAGTGGTTTGGATCCGGATATATGCAAAAGTTCGCCCTTCTAAGCTGTTTTAAATGTTTAACTGCTGTATAGATGGCTAAGGGTTCTCTGTAAGAGGCACATATTTTGTTGTGCTGATGTCAAATTTCGAGAAAAGAAACTTAAGGGCTGTTTTTCATTATTCACAATCTGATGTAAAAACGGCTCCAATGGCAGTATCGGAAGCATCATTTGTAGAGATATTTCAGCCTTTTCGGATGGGTGAGTTAAGTTGTGGCAGAATAGTGCATCTTTAAGATCTGGAAGGCGTTCTTGTTTTTCTGCCGTCCATGGTATCTCTTTTCTGCAGTTCTTTTTAATACCACTGAGCAATGTTGTTAAGGTTGTTGCAGTTTCGCAAAATTGGTATGAATCGTGATAAAAACTCACCTACCTAAAATTGTCTTAAACTAGTAAATGACTTTGTTTTGGCAATTTTGATGGCATCAACTTTCGTTGAAAGAGGTTTAAGTCCTTCAGCTGACACTTCGTATCCAGAATAAGTTTGCTTGACCAAATTTACACTTTGCCGCATTAAACAAGGCCATATCGTTTAGTCTCTCGAGGACTGCTCGTAGATGTTTTCGGTGGTGTTTTCTTCATCTGGAGAGGCTATTGAATGTCATCCAAATAGCAAAACGCAAATCCTAGTCCATTCAACACAGTTCATGAAACGTTGAACGTTTGGGGCGCATTTCGTAGGCCGAATGTCTGAATGGGAACTCGAATAAGCCAAAGGGAGTGAGAATGGCCGTTTCGGTATATTTCTTCGCAAACTGGAATTTGTTGTACGCTTAATGAGGTTATGGATGAGAAAAAACTCTTTTTCCAGCCAAAATGGAACTGCAATCCGTTAAAATGGAGAGAGGGATCTCAGGATCGTGACGTTGTTTACGCTCGATAGTCTCCACAAGGTCTCCAATCACTGATTCTTCATAGCGAGATGTTGTGGGCTCGACCAGTTACTTTTGGATGGCCTGATAAATTCAAATTTTTTTAGCCGCTTTAAGTTCTCACCTGATAGTCTCCTGGCTTTAGCGAAAACTGGTGGACCTCTGGTTTCGATATATGTTCGATGTTATGATTTTTAACTTTATTATTAACTACATTCAGTTTTAACAAATCCGTAAATCGTTAATGATACGTTTATATGGTCATTTACGGCATTTAAAATCGGAATATTATTATTGTATTTTAAAAACAAGGGAGTTCCATTGTTGTTAAGAATGTAGTACCATCAATCAACTTGTGATTTTTAGAATCTACAAAAGGTTAAAATTTGCAAGAAGAAAATCCATGCCTATTATCGGTTTGTTTACCTCCGCAATTACAAAGGCCATGTGAATCGTCTGATCCAAGATCAAGTTGAGTAATTTTTGGCCATATGTTTAATTTTCGTACCATTTGCAGCAAGAGTTCTAATTTTGAGATGTTTTTTTTATGCAGCCAAGGGAGGAATGACAAATTTCTGCCCCAGTATCTATTAAAATTGGTGCCGATTCTTTGTCGCTGATGAAAAGCGACTCAGCTTCACCCCTTGTACCTCCGTCGTCAATTAGAGACGGGGAGCGGTTTTCCGGACTATTTGTCTGTATGTGATGAGCAGTTGCAGGGTTGTTTACACTTTATATGACTTATCACCCGAATTTTTTGATAGTGACAAATATCACTAGATCTGTTACCACAGTAACTCCTATCGATTTGGATCGGTTACGACAATAGGAACGACTGTGAGTTGCTTGTTTAAAGCATAAACTTGAAGCTAAGTTCACTAACCTGTTTGTGTAAACTGTCAATCCACTTCCGTTTTACCTTTGGATGATGCAGCAGCTATTTGGGAAGTACCGGGTTTAATTCCCAAATCTTATTGGCCATTGTAGCCATTTTGACAATCTTCACTACTAACAGATATAATGACGCATATTAACGGGTAAACGTGTACAGAATGTTTTTAGGAAAGTACTGTTTCTTTATCGCCGCCAAATTCGCATCTCACACAGTAATTGAATGATTTGTCACCCCGTTTCTAATTCACTCAGTAAGTTGGGTTTTTCGTCTGAATCAGCTATAATGAAATTAGTCTATATTTTTAATTGCCTCATATTTATTATCT